TCACAACAGATACTCAATCACTGAAAAGAAAGAAGATAAATTGATGCAACAAATACCGTCATGTCACCTATAGAATACTAGATCTATTAAACAAATGTGGTCTTCCGATCAGATCATGAAAATGCCTATCTGCTGGAACATCATATTGGAAAAAAACAAAGGATCGGGACGTACTATATAGAACGTACACTCTTTCTAAAAAGATGCAAATAATAATTGGTAATATATTTTTCTCGCCCATCAGCGAACATGAGATAATAATTACTAACACATCAAAGAATCTTTGAAGTATAGCAGAAGAAAGTAATCATGGGAGACTATAGTAATTCAATTGTTGAATGGGATTGAATCAGTATCGAACCCTAGAAGATCATAGAGTGGATAGAGTAGTTAGACTCACATTGCTGTTTTGTAAGATACTTCGCCCAAAGAAAAGATGCAACGAGAATTTTATTATGTGAGGACTTAATCTGCATAAAAGAATACATTATTATATTAAGAATGTGTTTAGACATGTAAGGGTTCACAAAAAAAAACAAAAAAAAGAATCATACCATCAATGCAAAAGAAATCAATAAGAAAAAATTCACGCGAATTTTTTATGACTAGAATAGTGTTTAGCAAAATAAAATTAGTAAAATAAATAATAATAAGAGGATCTTGTTTGCTACTAAGGAATGTATCGGGGCAACTTCTAGTTCTATCTTTTAACAAATTCACATTTGGTCGGATGTTACATATACCAAATTGAAAAAATGGACGATGAACAAGGAGAAAGTCGTAGATTCGTTAGGTTTCCCAGGTTTGAAAATTCTTTTACACGCTCGTTGGAAACATTTTTTTTTTTTTGAGTTACGGCGTGTACGTGGATTCTTGCTAGGAGTGTGTGTGAAATCTATGAGTTTTTTCTTGGACATGTAACGGAGGTTTGACGATTAGCGTTAAAACGTGTGAAATAAGTAGGAATATTATTATTATCTATTAAAAAATAGTGAATTTTTAAATAAATAATTAGACTAAAAGTTTTACAAAATAATTTGTTAGCGTTTAATTTGAAGGTAATCATTAAGGCAAGTTTAATTTAGCCTTTCCATATATAACAGTGATTCAAAAAAACATCGGAATCATATTGTACAATAAACAAAGAAATTTTTGCATCACCGTAGAACATATCTATACATTTTCTTCTTAGGAGGTTCCGATATAAACAAATTATATAGAAGGTTATTTGTTAGTGGATATACAGCTGCAATATCCGGTTCAGGATACTGAAATTCTTAACTCCTAAGCGCACAAACTTTGTACTAGTAATCTCGATGAAGTTGGACAAATCATTATATTTGTCGTTCTGGTTAATAATATGTGTCCATCGTGAAAAGTAGACCACTTATCGCTTATTTTTTTCTTAGTTCAACAACCCCATCAAATATTTCTTAAACACAGCCGTAATCCTGTACAATATGAAAATCCTGTGAACAAAATGTGTAATCGAATTCATAGGAGATGCGGACTAAATAATTTCCGTTGACCACAATGTAATTTAGTTTCTTCAGGATAGTATCGGATGAATAGTATCAGTTACTCAATAAATCATTTGAGTGTAATAAAGTCTACACTACGGGATGTGATTTAGCCTTAGCTAGTTACACATTCTTTGACACGTTCTCCCGATCATTCCTATTTCCTTCTATTACTACATAACACTGTAATGATATAACACAAGTTACTAACAATACACGTTATTGTTATTGTTGTCCGTTAGTCCATAGCCAAATATCCTGTCCAAAGGTACCCAATAGGTGTGACAAAAAAATGAAGGTGTATCTTACTTGACAGAAAAATCCCCTGGTATTTTAATCGCAGTATTCCTCCCAGTAAAAGACGTCGTTATATCCCATTACATTAATCATTCGCATAACAAAGGTCCTGTTAGCAACATGTTACCATTTTCTATCGAATTCCACGTTAATTTTAGTTTGAACCCTAGTTTTAAAAGTTAATAGACAATAAGTGCTCTTATATGATATGCCTTGAAACTAACCGATCCTTACAGTGTCCCCCCATTGACACTGCCTTTTCTTCGAAAAGTCCGTTGTACACTCGTAACGGGTACTAGTGTCCATCTTTGAGCGACCAGTTAAAACATCTATGACAAGGCTTATATGCAAAAACAATTCTTCAGTTATTAGTTGTGGCCGGAAATAACGGGTTAGATAATGAATGTATCATTCAACGAGCCCATGGTAATGTCCTTAATCCAGATAATACACATATAATGTCTATTGCGTACCCTCTTGTTATTTTTTAATTGCATTTTTCATGACGAAATAGTTGATGATATACGTGGACAATATCTTTGAACATCAAAACAATTACCACTGGTAACGATCAGACATGCGAATTCGAAAACTGTTAGTTGGCAACAATCAGACCAATGAAACTCTACCAGCTTTTGATAGTGATATTAATATCTATGTTTGTTCAAAATATCATTTGCATTTCTAGTATTTCGCTGCGGAGAAAAAATTATTGGACAGATGTCATGTGATACCTGTCAGAGTGTCATGTGGTTTACACATCACATTCCAGTATTTGCTGCGGAGGATAAAATTAGTGGACAACAGATATTGACTGCGGACCCATGCAGAAATGCGCAGTAAATACTCTTCCGACTCTATATAACGTGAACCTCAAAAGGTCATTCAACGTTTCTAACACATGTCGAATATAGTTGTGCTCCTAGTCATAACAAGTGTTATAGAAGATGGTTCACGAGGACACGGCCTGATAATGTTATTGTTTCAAATGAGTCATCCCTAGTTATTCTTTGAATATTGTAATTCCTAACTACGAGACCGTAACCTTAGATTACGAACTTATTATATGATAATATTTGTGTTACAGTCTAGTCCCTTCCGAAGGAGTGAGCTCCGCTCAGTTGCACTGATTTTTTCTTTGTAATGTTTTCATACGTAGCAAAATTCTATTCCCGTTATTTCTCACTCTAGTGTATTCTCATTATAAACACCAACACTCAGATCATCTCCAATCATTGATGTTGTGCTTATGTAGCATCTCTGTTCTTCAAGAGTTATGAAAATGCGCAGGATGCGTTATGTTATAACATCTAAGGAAAGAGTATGATTGGGAGTTTAATAATTCCGATGGTTTCTTATAACAACAAATATGAATAAGATAATGCAGATAGATTCTTTTGGTCATTTGAGAAACAACACTAAACGAAACCGTAAATCAATCCTGCATGTATCCACAGAGAATAGTGAATGTTTACCTCACGCAATAGTATATGTGTAGTTTCGTTTCCATTCATCTTTCTTTTTAAGACTAAAATCAGCCCAGTGGAATAATCAACAATCACAAATCGATAACTCGTGGAACAATGTTCTTCTCGTGTTGATGAGGCATAATGGTTTCGGAAAATGTTTATGAAATTGTCTTTTGTAGAACAGATAGATAATTGATTGAGAAGTAAATTTTAACGATCAGTTGTTAATTATATCACAAAGGAGAGCATTCTGATAAGAGAGATGCTTCGTGATGGCGACACATTACCTATAATGGAATGGACGGAATTTAACAAACCAGTGTTAATTAGTTTATCTAGCTGCGAATATTTTTTCTCATGACATCACAAATAAAAAACATACGAAACCCACAATCTGCACGAGACGTATCTGGTCTGTTGAACTGATGCGAACAAAAATTCTCCAATTATTGTGAACACCATTATGAGATAATAAAGTAAATGATCCCAGAAAACGAGAATACCTGATAATACGAGCAGTCCATATGTTGATTCATCCAGACTATGATCTTCTGGAGCACCGATTACTATGAATCAGATCACGTTGCTCCTCATACTAGTTCTCTACAAAAAGAATCTCATTATCGTTCCTGTCTTTGTCCCATCAATCACGACAACATTCTCGTTCTCATTCTTGTTATTCCAATACTCGTTTTCGTATTTCACACCTTCGTTTTTCGATCACAAGTGTTGACACTTTATACTATAATGTGACTCGCAATTACATTTAAAGTTTTCTAGTTAGCTTTTTCATCATTTTCGATTTGTGTGGGATAAATAATATCACAAGATCAACTTTATTAAAAAACGAAAAATAAAGATAAATGCCTTACATAAAGGATACATTACTATAGTCATACAAAGTGCCTATAATCTACTTCACATCTTTTAGATAGCAACCTCGTGCTATTAGCTGAGCTGTTTTGGGCTTTGCCCTGAAAAAATGAGGAACAGCGTTTCATAGAACAGAAACGAGATAATTGTCCCTTCTTATTCAGACTATCGTATTAACTAAGGTAATCTTTACTATTTGTTCTTTTTGTTGACTTTCTATAAATTCATACAACTAATCTATTATAACACGCTATCTTAACTACATTAATCTGATGATAACTTGGATAGTCTTATTTAGATAACTATTATGCGTATTTTCATCCCCATCAAAGTAACGAAAAATTTCTTCCAGCTGGTCTATTCTCTTTGTGCGTATCGTATTTGTAGATTTTTTGAGTTCTTCAATAATTTGGTAAACTCCCATGTTCTAGTGAATAATCTTATCTAAAGCAAAACGATTGGAAGGTAATTGCAATTTTTTTCCAACCATGAATTTAAACGAGTTAACGAGTTCCTCGGTGGAGATTTTCATTTGAAGGATGCCATCGTACTCATCTCCAGGTACAAGGCAGTTGAGATATATATAGGGAATAATCTTGCCACTGGATCTAAAGCCGCCTGCGTAAATTATGGCGTAAGAATAGTTAAAACAAAGTGCACAGTAATTATTAATAACACTGGAACGCGTTGGGACACGTTGGGACGCGTTTGGACGTGTTAATTAGTGCTAAAAATAGCGTAGAACAATGATAATCAAACACCTCATTCTATATTTCCTTTTAAATAAGCCTCCCGATCTTTGATTTTCCATATTCATTATCCAAAATGACATATTACTATTACATTCTTCTTCTTTGCTGTTCCCCACTCTTGTTACTTCTTCTGGGGAATCTTTCTAAGCCCAATTTGGCTAACCATACTTTTACTAAGGCTTGTATATTTTGGTTACAACTGGTTAAGGTAATTCGTCAGTCATTTTTCATTTTCAAAACGACAAAATGTCGATGCTCACAAAGTACTTTTTTAGAGAAAAATACTACGATCAAAAATTGCATTTTCCACAAGGTTTCAGAGTTTCTGACGAAACGAAGAAGCAAATCGCCCTTTGGAATGACATAATTCAATTTAAACACAAAGATGATAATGATGAAATTTTCTGTAATGATCCACTTTTGATAGTCGAATATAACCAACCAGGCCTCGCCGCCCGAAATCTTAGGGAACTTGACGTCGCCAACGGTATTACCGATAAATATTATATAATCTATCTTAAAAAGTTTTTTCTAACCTTATTTTCTGGATTAGTAATTAGGGGTACTCAAAATTATATACCCATCGCATTCCCAAGGGTACATCCACCCCAATCCAACTCTGTTATTGCCTTTAACAGCATGCAAACGTTGGATGACGCTGTCGTACAATTATTTGAACGTTACAGTAACTTCACACAAGGAACAAATCATCCTACTATTGGAAGAATCTACGTGGTTGAATTTCGAAGAGCGAATACTTTCGATGTTTCAGAAAGACGACGAGTCTTTAATTGACGTTTGCTTTTTCTGAGATAATGATTGATTTGCATTCACACGCTTTTCAAAAAAATTCATTAATGGAGATTAGGTTGTGTAGAAGAAATTCTGCATATGTTTTTTTTGCATTAAGTAATCTGTAGTATTTTGACTACTTTTGATTTTTAGTATCATATATAATAAAATAACTGCAATTATTTTCGCGTGAATTCCATTTTTTTCCGGTTCAGATTGGGCATATGTGAACTTTGTTCTCGTGCTCGTATATTTTTTTATTAATAATAATAGTTTTAGCCAGTTTCACTAATACACCGAGTAGCTCTAATAATGATTGCTACGAGTTATATGCGAACTATACCAATTTAACTAGTTATTTTTTCGAATATCTTTTATTATCTTTTATTTTCTTATAAGTTTCCCTAATGCTCCCCTTCACGTTTAATCTTGATTTTCTCATTACAATCATGACAATCCCTAGGTCTATACTCTTTATCTAGACCGAATTTAACAAGCAACCATTCTTCCAGCATATTTAAGGAAAAAATTTCTTTTTGTTCCTCATCATAATCAATGAGAATCACGGTTAATTTACCATTAATGATTTCAGTTATTTTGCATCCAATATAAACCGGCACCGAATCTTTTTTACCATCTACAATACTTGAATAAGATTTGTTTATCCTTAGCTCATCTCCTATTTTGATAACGCCTGCAGAACACACTTTCTGAAGATATCTATCTACTTTCTCCTCTAAACATTATGTGCATTAGAATGTTGTTCTAATTCCTGATTCCTTAGTTTTAGAAACAAAGAAAACGAATTTATGATGACATGAACATGATTTTTGGGAGGCTGCTCTGTCCAGTAACGGTTAAGTTCCCCTTCTGTGAGCTTGTCATTATCGTTCAAAACGAGGTCCAAAAATTCGTCCTTATGATCATCAGGAATTTCTACCTTCCAAAGCTCTATGTCTTTGGCCTCGCTACATGAAAATACCTGCTTAATTTTTTCTACAAGACAGCCAAGATTATCGGCAGTCTCTACTTCAAATACGACAAGTCTCGGCTCTTTTATAGAGACAACAAGTGAGCGTAATTTTCTCCATGATTCTGTAAAGGTTACCCATAATTAATAACCACGTATTTATAATTCAATTTACAATCCCATTTACCATATCTGGAGTGTGCCTTGGTACTGCTCGTCCGGGAAAGTTTTTTTCATATCTTGATGATAAACATCTGCTGGAAGCTGGACTATGCCCAAAAGTGTTTGCAGACAATAAGTTAATTTTTCCATAGCTCAACCTCCATTGAGTCTCCATTCTTTATAAGGAAAAGAGAAAACTCGATTAACAATTTCGCATGAGAAAGATTGATGTGTTATACCAGAAAGGCTCGGTTGCAAAATTCTCGCACTCCCTAGGCATGTGAATTTTTTATAAGGTCCTTCAAGAAACGCCAGACTCCCTTATGACCCTAGTATGACCCTATTCAAGTACATGTACTTATTTCATGTGAAACGGGAATAACTACAAACAAATATAAAGATGATGTCGCCTAACTCGTTTTGTGTTATCAAAAAAATTCCTCCAGAACTAGTGAATGACACGCAAAATACATGAATATAAATCTCTGCGTAATGCAGTAATGGACATAATATAGTGAGAGCTTAATAGTTAATAGTAGATGAGGCAACAAATAATAATTTATTCAATTCTTTGTTAAGAATCATTACACCAATGATTGTGGAATACGGGTGACGGTCTCACTTCTCAGCCATACTCTTAATATCTGTTGCCCATGCACTGTTATTGTATACTATATTAATGAATCATGAAAAACGTGTATAAAAAAATTTAAAATATGACTCACTAACTCTACACACGTTTGCTTTCTCTAGACCCCTATTTCTACACATGGATAACGAATTTCTTAACATTTTTTCGGATACAATGAATCATCAAACGCTCTTTATATATTCTCGTTCCTCATTGTAGATTTTCAGATGTTTTCGTTTCATATGAAATCGATTGTGCTATTAATAAGAATATCGTGTTATGATTAATAGACATTAATTACAAATACATACAAAACGAAAAAATAAATGTTAATATTATTAATATATACTATACCTGAAGCCGCAGGAGACTGATTCACACATTAATACTACTTTTTATCTTCCTTCAGTGTAGCCGAGCGTAGTTCATTTTATCGGAAACTTGATTTTCTTTTTGTAATCACTTTGTCTATTAATCATATACAGTTAAAGTGCTGTTGATCGCAAATGTTTCTGTCTATGGGCATTACAATTAATAAAAAGTCTACCCAAACGAGAAACACGTCTTAGAAAGATTTCCACACGAGGAAGAATGTTGGCAAAAAGCGATTTACGACGTTGTCTTCATGTCATACCTGAAGGGCAACAATTAACAAATGCATGTATAATATTCAAATACAGTAAATCCGTAACAAGGCAGTATATATTTCTTTATCCTATGTAATACAAAATTTAGGTAATACAAATATTCGAAAAAAGATACTTGCATCGTTTCACACAATGTAATCGTTAACAGAGTGGAGGAATAACGTGAACGGGATAACATGGAAAGAATATGAGTGCCCAAGTGAAAACACTATACTAATTATTAAACAACATACAACTATTTTTGATATCGTGTATAAAAAAAAATTCTATGGACTCTATATCTTAGTAATTTAATCTATAATATTGATCTAATGATAAAATTTTTTAATTTATAAATTTCATGGTTTCAATAATTTCTTCGTACCTAAAATCCTCCTTAATTAAAAGTTGTATCATGTCTTCAATTGCTAAATAAATTCATTGATAAATTAAAATTTTTGTCGAACCTGAAATAATGTATCGAATTAAAATTTTTAATTTGGTAGAAACTTATGGTAGAAACTTATGATAATATTAAAATTTCTTAACCTTTTGCTACGACCTACGAATCTTGGATTTGTTGGGTCTGTCACGTGATTTTTGCTGTATTAACGACAATTCGACATATACAAAATAAAATAGTGAAACACGCGGGTATTTCATATATTACACAAACCGAAAAATGCAACTGATCAGAACTGCAAATTGATAGACCTATATGATGGCACCATATCCCTTAATGATAGCTATTGTTCTAAATTCCGCGGAATTTCAGGATTTCCGCAGAGGATTCCATGGAATTTCATTGTATTACAGATTAGATCGGCACATGAATAGCAGCCAAATTTAGCTGCAAAACGCTTATTGGATCTATCATAAATACGTAAAATTTGATCGTGATTTGTTCGATCATTCAAATAAAATATGGTAATATCCTTGGAAATAACACTTTCGAAAGTTGGAAATGTGGAATTTAAAGTACTTGACTTTTTATTCTTCTCTCCTTTGAAAAAAGGTAACAAACTTTTTAATATTTAAAAAAATTGACTTTGTTCTCCTAAAAAAAAATTGTATGGTAACTATAAAATCCTCTAAATTTTATTCACAAGGGAAAACGCGTTAATATTTCATTGTAGGATTGCCAAAATATTAAATTCTGCTGAAGAATTTGAAGAATTCAGAGATTCAATTGTGTTGGTGTACTGTAGATAATATACTGTATATATATAATATATTCTTTTTTTCATCCGTTCAGTAAAATTATATATTTTAATACTAATCTTAAATAAATGATCAATGTAAGACCAGCGTGTATGTTTATACTTCCATCCTGGTTCGTAATCTAAGTTACTCTCTATATATACTGGGGGCGTCCTTAACGTTGTACAATTTTAACGTACAAACTAACCCGAGTTTAGGAGTTACTATACACTTGCCCGTGATAGCGTTAATGTTAATTCCAGCCAGTTTGTACGTTAATATCGTACACCCTCACTGTCCTATATACTGTACCATTCCGAAATTAAACAACCATTTTTTGAACTTAATTCCGGCCATAGTAATCATAATTCTAGTCAAATTCTCTATAATGCGGGCCGGGTTGCTTATTTTCGGGGGTTGTTTAATTTCGGAATGGTACGGATAATGGATTGTTGGATGAAGCTAACTCTTGATTTTTTTCTGACACACAAAGTACACAGGCAATAAACCTGTCGGTATAGTCTCTTGTATTAAGCCTCTATCATGCTTTTAGCGTCTCTATCGCCGCTTTGATATCTCATTGAGAATGTACGCATCTGAATTAAGTGTTCTTGGGGTCTGACATATTATGATTTGTTTTTTTTTTCTCAGTATCAATGCATAGTGCTGGAGAAAGATTACTGATTATGTTTGCTTTTTTCTTAGTGTCACCTACAAAAGTTTGGTCTCGGCTATCTTTTTAAGTTGTTATTAGTTATATTGTTGATTTTATTAGTTATAGTTTGTCTAGGGTCTTCTTAACCTGGACTGCTGGACCAGATGCTTATCCTGGACTACAGTAGTCAAATTTGATCCGTTGTTTAATTTTTCGTGTTATATATTTCTTCAATATTTCTCGTAAGCACGTACATTTTTTTTTACATTAAAGGTTTTAATTGATAATACTTTGCAATCCCTGACACCAAAATCCCGATAGTCGATAGTTAAAATTCTTGACGCCAAAGTTTTTTTATAAATTTTATAAATCTAATTTTAAAAATACAGAGGCGCAGTATCGGGTCTTAATTTATCCCGGCTAATTAAAATATAATTTGAATTATTTGATTAGTATTAACGCAAAATATTTGTAAATTTTATACCATGCAAATTGTTTGCAAATTTTATTAATATTAATGAAAATTAACTAACGTTACTAAATTATTAATGAAATTAAAAGGAAAAATTTTTTTATTATTTTAACTAAAAGGACTATGTACAGTATATTACTAGATTACTAATCTTCTGAGATTAGAAACACTTGCACTAAAAAATTAACTAATCTCATACTCATCCCAGTCAGGATTTTGGCTGTCAAGATTTAGATTGCATTTATCGAGATTTTGGTTTCTGTCGATATTATGGTTGTCAGGATTTTTGGGAGATCCCGTAATTATTGTAATTGTAAAAGGCACAATATTTATAGATTTTGCAGTTTTATTATTAAAAATTTAAAATATATATATATATATATAATTATTTATTTATTTGCATTAATATAAAGCCATAGACTTTCGATATTTATGGTTGTCGGGATTTTGCGGTAAACCCCTTGGTAATTTAATAAATACATTTTAAAAATTTTTTTTTGTTTGAAATAAATATTTTGCAGATATTGATTTTATAATACAAGTCGACCCTCAGAAAATGGTGTGATTTATAAAAATACTATATGGTGTGACTAAAGAGACGGACCATTCTAATAAAGGGGTATGTGACCGGTAATTCCTTTTACAATATAGTCTATATAGAGTTGAGTATAGCTTGATTAAACTAACTGTATTTCATTTTATTTGTATGTGCATTCTCTAAAATTGATTTTATAGCTTATTTTTTGGGATGCTGACTTACTAAATTTTCGTTTATTCAAATTATATTTATTTTTGTTGGGATGTGTAAAACCTTGGATTTCCCCACGCGGTATAAAATTTGAATAAAATCAATAGATTATACCTGACCTGTTTCGGGTCCCTGTCGAGTATCCTATGATAATAAATATAAACAATTCGAAGCATCATCGTTTTCTTATCATTCTAGTTTATCTTTTTTTTTGTTTATCATCACGAAGAAAAGGGTTGATAAAACAACTTGTTTGCTTTATTCTGAATTTTAATTTGAATTATGTAATACAAAAAGGTTGCGATGGAAAAATAATTTGTTACATCAACAGGAATCAAAAGAAAAGGCTGAAAATTCTTTTAAATTATTCAAGAAGAATAAAAAAAAAACAAAAACTCGTTTTGAAATTTAAGTTTATTATTATTTTAGATGTAATGTGCCCAATTCCATGAATGTGAGAAATAAAATACATACAGAAAATATACAATCTTTTTCTATTATGAATATTTGTAACGTAAAATATTGTTCATTGGCGTAATCGGTGCAACTTTATATAAACTCATGACTTATATACAAACATATTATCTAATCGTGAGTTTCAATCTTGGATCGACACATAAATTTGTGGATACGGTTAAACATTGCTAAAATCAAGTAATAAAAATAAACTATAATCCCATGGCTAATATTAAACTCGCGCTTCTCGAACTGTAATTCCGATAATCACAATATTTATTTATCCCAACTGCTTCATTAAGCCAAACTTCATGTCATGAATATATCTGTTCGCGCCATTAAAATCCTGATGATTCAAGAATTAATGTGATTTGTGGTATTATGTCATAATTTCAAACGAATATGTCAAAAAGCGTGTAAAAATACTTTATTTCTATAGCGTTTCCTTTTGTGTTTTGGTGGAGCATGCTTTCTGTGTTTTAATTGATGTTCGTTGATTTTTGGGTTGTATTGATCTCCCGTACGGATCCGAAACGATAAATAAACGTATTGTTCGTTTTGTTATATAAACTGTCTCTCTCCCAACTTATTTTTTATAAACTCCCCCATCATTCATCATTTAAGTCATTATAAGCTTATCCGTCATTTAAATTCATCCGTTATGTAAACTATTCATTCATTTATTTTACTCAGTCATTTAAATTTAAACTCGTCCATCATTTAAACTCGTCCGTCATTTAAACTCGTCCGTCATTTAAACTCGTCCGTCATTTAAACTCGTCCGTCACTTAAGCTTATCCATCACTTAAACTCATCCTTCTCGCATAATAACTGAAGTATGTATCATCTATGTATTATTATGTTGTCATCAGAATTATTTTATTAAAGATTTTTTCTTTTGTTTTCAAGTAAACGAAATTACCCTACAGTTAATTTATTAATAAAAATCTTTCAAGGTTTAATAATTTTTACACATAAAGATGTTAATATGTTCTATGCATAATTATTCTTTTTTTTACACGTAAATATGTGAATGACGTAATTGTTCTACAATGTTATTTTTAATACATATTTATCAAATAATATCGTAAAAGTTTATTTCTATAATCGTCAACGTAGTTCTTCTTTAATAGTTAAATCGTTAAAAAATGTAGTTATTTAAGGAAATACAAGTAAAATATGGCTTTTTGAAATAATAATAAAAAAATAACGTCCACTTGTTTTGAAATTTATAATTAATTTTTGAATCTTGCCATCATTTGATTCAAATAGTTCATAGAATGTTCGTGGGAAATATTATTAAACATTATTATCTTTTTGAATCCCTTAGCATACATGTATTATTTAGTTGTACAGTATGTTATAGTACCTTCTTTACTTTAACTACTGTATTAAAAGAGAATAAGAACAAATCTTTTTACGACGATCTAATAATTTATAGTAACTTTTAGTGGCAAATTTTAGGTATTATTTAAACTTGCATGGCATGGCATGGTGTGATTTTAATCTATAGTATGCAGATCCATACAGCATTTTTTGTACTTCAATTTCTATTTGCGAAATGGTACGCTTACTATATGAAGTTATCAAAAAATATAAAAAAAAAAGATAACAATAAAAAAGGGTTAACTCGAAAAATAGTTCAAACTTTTTTAAAAAAAGAAAAAGCAAATAATACGCATTTACGCGTTTGCATTTCTTTTAACTTATTATAAATATGCCTAAATAACTTGTAAATAAAGAAATAAAGAAATCAGCCAATTTTAGAAATATATTTAATAATAAATATACTAAAATTAGTCAATGTGAACCAATTATAACCAGACCCCAATTTCCAAATAAACCTTTATTACAAAATCAACCTATAAACCAATAAATTAATCTCCTTATTGGTAGTCAATTATGTATGCATTTGTGTTTGCGCAGACAATTTTCTTAGTTTTCTTAGCAATAACAAACTTACGCATATCTGCAAATTTACTAATCTGCCGCTAATGATGTCATGACATTTTGTAAAAATGCGCCACAAACTTTAAGCAGTATAATCGGCGTAATCTGTCACACATTTCATTAATCTTACACATTTAGATAAATGATCGATAACGTTATCAAAAAATGTATGTTGAATGGGGTACGATATTAACGTACGAACTGGCCGGAATTAACGTTAATGCTATCACGTGCAAGTGCATAAATCCTAAACTCGGGCCAGTTCGTACGTTAATATCGTACAGACGTTCACTCCCATCGTACCGTAATTTACAATCTGGAGTTAAATGATTGATAACCATTACTTGTACCAATTTTCTAATTTTTATTAAAAGTTTATATTATCTAATTCGATGTTTTTTTATTTTTTAATATATAAAAGAGTAAGTATTGAGAAGCAGATTGTGTAATTGAAGCTTAATATTTCGAATGTTTTTTCCAACGACAAGAATGTTGATGCGATGAATATCGATGATGATAGAAAACAAATGAAGAAATAAACAAATAATTAATTTAACATATACGAATTGATATCAATACAACCAATATCCTCTGTATCCTCTGGTGGAGTACGTAGATTACCTTATTATTTCGATTGGTTAACATTAATGAAAAAGTTTATGCAAGAAAAGTTTTAAAAAAATACTACGAGAGGAGTTGTGACCCCCTTATCAATTGATTTTTACGAACAAATTCTATGTTGTGTAAATTTACATAAAATTCATGCTCCTAGTACATGAATAGATAATATACGTTTTATGGTCACAGTTCCTAATTCGATGCATTTATATAATAGTCAAAAAGTTAGTAACTCTACAATTAATGACACTGAAATTGAAAAAATGGCGATGAACAAGATCTGAATTAGAAATTTGAAGACTAGCGTAAAATGCGTGAAATAAGTAGGAATAATATGATTATCCATTTTTTAATTAATTAAATTTTATAATTATAATTTTAGCTTAACAAAAATGGGAATGCATTAGATCCTTGTTATAGGAAGGCAGTAAGATTGCATATACTACGAACCAAAGTCAACACCATTTGATAATCGATGTAAAATATTTTACAATATGTTTAGGGTTTGGTTACAATTGTAGCATCAAGTGTTTATACTGGCATGTGAATCTATAGAAAAATGATGTTCCTTTCCGTTTCCAAGTAATTGCTAGATACAAAAGAATGATCCTCTCGTAAGGTAATATATATGAACATGTATTCTTTAAGTATTTTAAATATTTGTTTATTTTATAGGAGTATCCTTTGTACGATTATGCATCGATCAAGTTGAAAATATATTATGGTTTTCACATTTTGAGTTTTCGATAAACAAAATTTACAGTATTTACTTCAAAGGGAACTAGTCGCTTGTGGCTTTGAGGATTAGGTGTAGCTTATTAATTAGTGGGTAGTTTAATCATTTATGTTTCTATTGGCACGAAAAAGTTTTAGAATTACGAGATTGGTATAATAAGCGTCGGACTAGATGGAATTGATGAAGCATGAAATTTACAAATTTGATCACTTTGTAGTAGACTTATCATAGATCAAATTATTATCGATTAGATCAAATCGTCAGAAATATCAATTATATTATTTTATTGTGTGAAAAGATTACATCGGGATAATAAATTTTTTACCGACTTGTAAATAATGAATGCATCTGCATCGCGTGAAACTTTTAGGATACATATGTTTAAAATATAATTAAAATTTCATAATAAATTTTTATTTATAAGATAAAAATAGGAAAACCGGATTATTATACAATTTAATTTTAAAATAATAAAAATTGCTATAATTTTCGAGGTAAAGTTAATTAAAAACTTATAAAATTTATGAAGAAATATTAGATCTGCATTCTGCAACGGTAGCAACTGGTGCAGCTCCATTAGATGTACTTGAAGAATAAATATCACCTATTGTTTCTTTAGGATAGGAAATATATGATGCTTATATAAACACACAAGACATTTATTAATAAATTAAGATGAGATATATATTTAAGAAAAGACGAGTATATGACTTACTAAGAGATCTTTAAGATTCGCGAGAAGGTACAAGATATGCCAAAAAAACGAGGCACGAATTAATATCAACATGTACCGATAAATGCAATTACTCATGAATAATAATCAGATGAGAATTTAAACATCTCTACTTATTCATCCCGTTCAATCTCGACCTATCCAACTCAAGTACGAACTACTCGTCCAATAAGTATTATTCTGTATCGACATAACTGCCAGTCCGAATACCGCTTATTAAAATAGATCATATCATCGACTTACGCCATCAAGATAAGTATTTCTTTCTTGTACCCCATTTGCATGATCTTTACTTAAAGCTATATCGTTGGAAAAACCAGTAATCAAGTTATTTTTGTTCAACTTTGATAACGGACTCTAATTATTTTTTTTTTACTTGAGTTTCACTAGCATTAAAGCTCATCACTTGTATCCTTGAGTATTTGTAATAAGATGAACAAAAGATATTTTTTGATTCTAGAGTAATCGGACTAGCTTATTTAAATAGTCCTACTAGACAAACCATTTCTTCAACTTTCACATGATCACCGCAGAGAACTATCTTGATATTTATTATTTTCCTTCCCAATACTTTTTCGTCGTGCGTTTCGTTTTCTTGAAAGACGAAAGCCTCTTTGTTTTTGAACGTTTTCTGGTTATTGCTTGGTAAACACCCAGGTTTCTTCAAGATGATGTTTCATCATCAATTTCCATCGGATATAATCATCATTCTTATTTACATCAAATTTGTATCAGAGCGCTTACGCTATTTCTTGGTTGTTAATATTAGCCGTGTTGATTGACATGTGATGGTTAAGTAGTAGATTGAAGTAAAGTTTTCTTAGTTTTGAAGACCAAGTTCGTTGTCTAAATTGGAATTATTAGTAGAATTATAAATTTGCTTATTCATAATTATGAAAAGTTTGATTTATTTATAACTTTCATCATTTCCTTGAATCATCTGCCACCAAAAGCCGTCTTTTCATACATGAAAAGCATCATAATAATGTTTCCGCACCTGCTAAAGCAACTGACTAGCTTGAACAAAAGCACCAACTAAAAAATTACGGCACTAAAAATAATTACATATAAAAATCCCTCTTTTTTTATTAGACTTTTCATAATATTCGAATATACCCTATTTTAAGGTGGAAAACAAATATTGCGGAGAAACAACACTTATATGAATATATCCTATTTTAAAGGTGGGAAAAAAAAGGCGCGAAGAAAAAACCACGGGTTATCAAATTAGCGCGTGCACCTTTATTCTTATCAACTTGGATTGGATTTGCCGTGTGTGTCACCAACTTGAATGGTTATCATGGTTATCATAGAATTTGATCTGACATCATCTATCAATTTTCACCAATTTCATTCCAATACTTTCAATACAAAAAATAACTTAATGTTCCTTTTTTATAAATAACTTGGTTCTTTAGCATATGTTTGGGATCCTAAACATGCTAGGAAGACAATAGGAAGTGCCGTGACCTCTTAACATCTGACTTAATCTCTAGTTTTCCTTAACTATCAACCGCCAAGATTTAAAAAATAGATTGTTAAGTTGTTGCAGCATATAACATTTTTCGATAACGTTTAAATCATATTAGATAATGCAGCTAAGGACTCTTTATTTATTTTGGTAATTATTTCATTATTTAATTAACAATTAAATACATTTAAGAGTTAAATAATATTTGATTTTAATTTTTGATTTTAATTAATATTTATTTTAATAGATTAAATTGAGCCAATTATTTAATAAAACTATTACCTCACTTGAACGAATTCGTAATGGTGATAATTAGGACACTTTTTACATTTATGATGATTCATCAGAAAATATTCTGGGATGGTGGAGTTGGTGGTATAGGTGTGATATTTTGCACATAACCTTTGCTTCCAGCTTGGCTTCATGGTACAGAATCTAACACTTTTGTGAAACGACCGGACAAAACAAATCCAGATTCTGACTCGCTAAAATCATCTAAAATGCTTCACAAATTAACAAGTAAACAATTGGTAATTGAGAACTGAAGGAAAAAACTCGTATGGCGAGATATATCATATCTAAGAAACATTGTTTTTATTTCTATATTAATTTAATTTTACCAAGTAGTATTGAAAGTTTAATAATTGAAACATTTGGTGGGAACATTTTAAAAATTGATATACGTTTTCCATTCAGTAAGTTTGAAGATTATCCATGTTAATATCACTGTTATGTAGCGATTGAACAGATGCAGTCATACCACGTCTGTATAAGAAGGTTAACTATAAATATAGACCTGGAAATTTGAGAGAAATAGCAGAAACTGCTCTAATTATATACAATTAGAAAAAAATATGCTTTACAACAGAGAAGTGTATATTGCTCAATGGAGACGAATTGTTATTTTATTTTACTGGAAACAAAGAAAAATTACAACTGTGAAAAAACGAAATTCTAAGCTAAAGGAAAAGAAAAAGACCATTATAACATGCAATCTATATAATTTTCCAAATCTCCCTAAAAAGAATTGCCGTCTTCCTAGCCATAGATAAGGAATTAAGGATCGTATTCCCCTATGGAGTGCAAGCTGAGTTACTATGTTACCGGTATAGAAAAAGGATTTGATAAAAGCGTTAAATGCCTATGTAAGGCCCTACCCAAATCTGAGATCAAGAGTGTTTGGTGTGTACCGAGAATTATTTTTTGATGTATATATATTTTTTTTATCTTATGTAGCTAGGAGAGATGGTGAAAATATGAGTTGAAGGGAGGTTTATAATAATTCTAATTACAAGGAGATTCTAGAGAGGAAATAAACATTTAAGATTATTGTAAATAATCTGGAGAGATTTGACGAGGTCGCATAGTGTACAACAAGGTAAAATATTTCTTCACATGAAATTCACTCACAAAATCAATCCATGACAACAGCAACGATCACTAATAATTCAGATCATCGCTGTATCGCTGTATCTAAATTCATGGAAGGACATCATTAATGATATCCGTTTACTTTTAAGCACCAAAGTATTAAAGCCATTCACAACAAATACTCAATCACTGAAAAGAAAGAAGATAAATTGATGCAACAAATACCGTCACGTCACCTATAGAATACTAGATTCATTAAACAAATGTGGTCTTCCGATCAGATCATGAAAGTGCCTATTTGCTGGAACATCATATCGGAAAAAAACAAAGGATCTGGACGTACTATATAGAACGTACGCTTTTTTGGTAATATATTTTTCTCGACATCAGCGAACATGAGATAGTAATTACTAAACACATCAAAGAATCTTTACAAGGTATAGCATAAGAAAGTAATCATGGGAGATTATAGTAATTCAATTGTTGAATGGGATTGAATCAGTATCGAAACCTAGAAGATCATAGAGTAGATAGAGTAGTTAGACTCACATTTCGATACTTCGCCCAAAGAAAAGATGCAACGAGAATTTTATTATGTGAGGACTTAATCTGCATAAAAGAATACATTATTTTATCAAGGACGTGTTTAAACACGTAAGAGTTTATAAAAAAACCATACAATCAATGCAAAAGAAATCAATAAGAAAAAATTCACGCGAATTTTTATGACTAAAATAGTGTATTTAAATTAAATTAATTAGCAAATAAAATTAGTAAAATAAATAATAATAATAAGAGGATCTTGTTTGCTACTAGGAAATGTATCGGTAATGGACTGATAGTGGCAGGATGTTGCATATACCAAATTGAAAAAATGGACGATGAACAAGGAGAAAGTCGTAGATTCGTTAGGTTTCCCAGGTTTGAAAATTCTTTTACACGCTCGTTGGAATCGTTTTTTTTTTTTTGAGTTACGGCGTGTACGTGGATTCTTGCTAGGAGTGTGTGTGAAATCTATGTTTTTTTTCTTGTACATGTAACGGAGGTTTGACGATTGGCGTTATAACGTGTGAAATAAGTAGGAATATTATTATTATCTATTAAAAAATAGTGAATTTTTAAATAATTAATTAGACTAAAAGCTTTACAAAATAATTTGTTAGCGTTTAATTTGAAGGTAAAATCCTGTTTAATTTAGCCTAATCATGTAGTAATTTAATCTATAATATTGATCTAATGATAAAATTTTTTAAGAATTAATTAATTTATAAATTTCATGGTTTCAATAATTTCTTCGTACCTAAAATCCTTCTTAATTAAAAGTTGTATCATGTCTTCAGAACCTGAAATAATGTATCGAATTAAAATTTTTAATTTGTTAGAAACTTATGATTATATTAAAATTTCTTAACCTTTTGTTACGACCTACGACGGAATCTTTGGATCTTTTGGGTCTGTCACGTGATTTTTGCTGTATTACGACAATTCGTCATATGCAAAATAAAATAGTGAAACACGCGGATATTTCATATATTACACAAACCGAAAAATGCAACTGATCAGAACTGCAAAATTGATAGACATATATGGTGGCACCATATAACATCATTTTTGCATCAGAACTAGCTTATTGGATCTATCATAAAATTTGATCGTGATTTGTTCGATCATTCAAATAAAATATGGTAATATCCTTGGAAATAACACTTTCGAAAGTTGGAAATGTGGAATTTCAAGTACTTGACTTTTTATTCTTCCCTCCTTTGAAAAAAGGTAACCTTTTTTTTAATGCAAATAAATATTTAAAAAAATTGACTTTTCTCCTAAAAAAAAATTTGTATTGTAACTATAGAATTCTCTTAATTTGAAAATTTTTATTCACAAGGGAAAACGCGTTAAATTCTGCTGAAGAATTTGAAGAATTCAGGGATTCAATTGTGTTGGTGTACTGTAGAGTGTAGATAATATACTGTATATATATTCTTTTTTTCATCCGATCAGTAAAATTATATATTTTAATACTAATCTTAAATAAATGGTCAATCTATATAGCAATTGAAAAAAAATTGGTGATATTCAGGTCACTGTTTAAATTAATTTGGATGATATATCGTTACAATATCGCACGCTATCAAAATTGATGCAATACGCGATGCATCGAACATTTTCATTGTTCCTAGGATAAAAATTATATCACGTAATAATATATAAATTTGTAATTCTGGCCGGTTACTGCATTCAGGGGAAATTTTTGGGGTTGTACCATTTGTTGTTATTAGATAACAATCAGTAGTTTTATTAGGTTAGACATTTTATACTATAATATTTATATATTCCTTGATCCCCCTAAAAAGAGTAAGTTTTTTCGCCTTTCTCAGCATATTTAGTCTTGAAATGGGTCCATTCAGTTCCTATTGATCTTTACTCCGCCTTGCCAGTATATTCGATGAGTTTAATTAATCATAAAATTGATGTTGCACGAAACGCTAATTTTTTCCTTCGGTACAAAAACAAAAATGTAAATATTATAATTAACATTTAATATACCGTACCTAATTTTATGATTATAATATGGTTTTGATAGAATGAATAAATAAATAAAAATCTTTCATAAGCATGATTACTCTTAAATAATATTTTGGTGTCAAATTATAGTAGGGATGGTTGGTTCTTTCAGCTCGGCGTCCCAGCCGTCCTTAAGGATTAAAAATAGGAGCTTCAAGTTACATTTGTATGTAGAACATACGAAAGTTGATCAACGTAACAAAATAAATTTTTTAATTTGGGTTTGATCTATAAGCTATCTTAATTTCAATTTGAGCTGGCTCGTTGGAGCCTGTTCGGAGTCGAGACAAGCTTAGTAAATACTAAATTTGGAATCGGCTCGAGACGATACCATCTCTAAAGCTCTAAAGTAACATTGCACGGTCACGCATATGATCCTTTTTTTAAAAAAAATCTAGACTCTCAGGCACAAATAATTCATAATCTTCATAGTTTCATTTCACTATTGTATTTTCTTTGTAATAATTTATTATTATTTGCGGTTAAGTAATGAACTTTATCAAATGCATAAAAATCGAAAATGTTTAAAATTATAGGTAATATAATAAAGAATAAATTTACGACTATGGATTTGCCTAAATCACCAGTTAATCAATACTTAACCTAAAAGAAGCAAGAAATCAGACTAATCCCGTTTGACGACATACCTAAAGAAAAAAGAAAAAACGATCGTCTAGATCTAAAAAGAATCTAACCGGAACTATTATGAAATGCTCACAAGACTTTCAGTTCACAAGTACGTAAGACCAGCGTGTATGTACGTTAATCCTCACTGTAAGAGGGCGGACATCCTTATATTATCACATTATTGTCGATCATTTTGCCAATCATTTCAATTATCTATTCGATATTATCTCATAAAAAAAATACGATTATGTATATTAAAAACCAAAATGATTTTTATTTAACTATGTTCATGTAAAATTGATTGAGAAATAATGTTTTGAAAACTTACATTTATTACATAAATTATTATAATACAATAGCAAGTATTTATTTAATGCTAACTTTTTGATTATTTAAAATTTTTTATAATTATTTTTGTCACTAATTCTTGAATACCTAAATAATGTATTTTGAAAGTTTCTAGTTTGGCCCAAAGCTTCAAGTCAAATTAGCAGATGATCGGCACATATATGAATTATTGAAAATTTTGGCCTAAAGCTTATTTTGGAACCACATTTTATTTTGCCACAAAATTTTTATACTAAATTATTAATATATCTAAATTATTAATATATTAAACTATTAAATAAACCAATTTAGAATAATTTTTTTGAATATTTATGGCCTGGAATAAAGTTTCAAAATCAGTCATATGTTATGATCGGCAAATGATCAACATGTGATATAAGGTATGTCCGCCCTGTTCACTGTATCCCTATATACTGTACCATTCCGAAATTATTAAACAACCATTTTTTTGAACTTAATTCCGGCCAAAGTCGTCATAATTCTGGTCAAAATCGTTATAATGCTGGCCGGAGTTGCTTATTTTCAGGGATTGTTTAATTTCGGAATGGTATGGTAATAGATTGTTGGATGAAGCTCTAACTCTTGGTTTTTTTCTGACATATAAAGTACACAGCCTGCCACAACAGAATCTATTCATGTTTTCCAATTTAATTCTACTGATTGTAAAGGAATAATTGGACAAATTACTAATAATATAAAAATTCTAATAACAAAAAAAGAATCTATTTTAGTTGGTATAAAATTATGCCAAACACACCGCATTATAATAAATTTATTATTAATGAAGCTTATAAGCTACTTGAATACAATAAAATTTGTTCTTATCCAAAGCATAATGAATATAGAAATCAATCAAAAAATTTAAATCAAAAATCAAAAAATCTTAATCTTGAAAAAGTTTCAAAAAGATTAATTTCAATTTTACAATTAGATGAAAATGATAAAATCTGTAGTTTATGTAGAAAAAAACAGATAAAGATCCTGATTATAATACATTAAAAGAATATAATGCACCAATCCTCAAAAAAAATGATGATGATAATATATTAAAAATAGAAAATCATACTTATTCATTTAGAAAAGATATTTTATATAATGGAGAAGAATTAAAACAATTTGAATCAGATTATCAAGAAATTATAGCATAATTAACAGTTTCAGATAAAATTAGTTTAAGTAATAAAATTAAAAAATGTCTAACATACTTTATAAAAATCAAAGATTATTAAATCAAAAGCCAATTTATGATTCTAATGAATTTAAAAATACATTAAAACTAGTGCAGATTTAATTGGATTTTTTGATGAACTATATGAAGGAACTAATTCTGCTAGTAAATCAGAAAAAACTAATAATAATAATAAGAAGAAATTAGTTTCTTTATGTTATTTTTTAGCTAGTATTAATAATAAATACCATATGGGCTGATTTGTCCACCTTTAATTAAAATATTGATTTTGTTACATTTAATATAATATACAGTAAATTGGGGTGAGTATTAAAAAATTTTATTTAATGTTATTATACTATAATTTGGTAAATATTTCTTTTAAATTAATATAATTCTTAGCACTTACTATATATGTTGAAAATTCGTATTTCAACTTTAAACGTAAATATCTCCAGATCCAATGATCCAATCGGCAAGCTCTTTTTTCGCTCATATAGTCCAGATCAAGTGCTTTCCAAAGAGCCTAAATTTATAAAAAACGGATCAGTGGATCCAAAGATATTTGCATTTAAGCATGTTAAAAAATTCGTACCTCAATTTAAAACGTAAATATCTCCGGATCTAATAATTCAATCGGCGAGCTCTTTTTTCGCCTATAAAGTCCGGAACAAGGGCTTTCCAATGAGCCTAAAATTATAGAAAACGGATCAGTGAATCTTGATATATTTGCGTCTAAAGATGGTAATACAAACATCGACATAAAATAATTATTTTTATTGTTTGAAAAGGTATCCGGTCAAAATCGCGACGGGTCAAAATCTCGAATTCTAATGCTGGTCAAAATTCACGTGATTCCGCATAATTCTGCATAACTCTGCATAATGCAGGCCAACTGTCGGGATTTTGACCCATTCGGGATTTTGACCCGTCGCGATTTAGACCCATAATTACAAACTTCTGGAGCATCAGCTGCTTTTATTGATATACTTGCAAATTTGGGATTATAGTATCAAGAAAGACAGTAGATAAAAAAAAAAAATTATTTCAAATGAATATGAACAGTCTGTTGATAATTATTACATAGTCCTTTTAGTTAAAATAAAAAAAATTTCCTTTTAATTTCATTAATAATATAGTAACGTTAGTTAATTTGCATTACCGGTAATATTAATAAAATTTGCAAACAATTTGCATTGGTATTGATAAAATTTACAAATATTTTGCGTTAATACTACAAATTATATTTTAATTACCTGGGATAAATTAAGACCTGATACTGCGCCTCTGTATTTTTAAAATTATTGTTTAATTGGAAATTTATAAAATTTATAAAAAAAAAACTTTGGCGTCAAGAATTTTAACTGTCGACTATCGGAATTTATTTCTTTAAAAATTTTTTTTTGTTTGAATACTATGGTGTGACTAAAGAGACGGACCATTCTAATAAAGGGGTATGTGACCGGTAATGAGTTGAGTATAGCGTGATTAAACTAACTGTATTTCATTTTATTTGTATGTACATTCTCTAAAATTGTTTTCATAGCTTATTTTTTAGGGAATACTGGCTTACTAATTTTTTGTTTATTCAAATTATATTTATTTTTGTTGGGACGTATAAAAACCTTGGATTTCCCCACGCGGAAAATTCGAAAATCAATAGATTATACCTATTTTGGTCTGACCTGTTTCGGGTCCCTGTCGAGTACCCTTGATAATAAATATGAACAAATTGAAGCATAATTTTCTTATCATTCTAGTTTATCTTTTTTTTTGTTTATCATCACGAAGAAAAGGATTGATAAAACAACTTGTTTGCTTTATTCTGAATTTTAATTTGAATTATGTAATACAAAAAAGGTTGCGATGGAAAAATAATTTGTTACATCAACAGGAATCAAAAAGAAAGGCTGAAGAAGAATAAAAAAAACAAAAACTTGTTTTGAAATTTAAAGTTTATTATTATTTTATAACAATAATAGATGTAATGTGCCCAATTCCATGAATGTGTGTCGCCCATGAGAAATAAAATACAGAAAATATACAATCTTTTTCTATTATGAATATTTGTAATGTAAAATATCCAAAACATAAAAAATTTGCGACCAAATATTGTTCATTGGCGTAATCGGTGCAACTTTATAACTCATGATTATATAACTCATGATTATATACAAACATATTAATTATATATAAACATATTATCTAATCGTGAGATTCAATCTTGGATCGACACATAAATATGTGGATACGGTTAAACATTGCTAAAATCAAGTAATAAAATAAACTATAATCCCATGACTAATATTAAACTCGCGCTTCTCGAACTGTAGTTCCGATAATCACAATATTTATTTAACCCAACTGCTTCATTGAGTCAAACTTCATGTCATGAATATTCTGTTCGCGCCATTAAAATCCTGATGATTCAAGAATTAATGTGATTTGTGGTATTATGTCATAATTTCAAACGAATATGTGTCTTTGAATGAAAGTGATGTCAAAAAGACGTGTAAAAATACTTTATTTCTATGTTTGTGTTTTGGTGGAGCATGCTTTCTGTGTTTTAATTGATGTTCGTTGATTTTTGTGTTATATTGATCTCCCGTACGGATCCGAAACGATAAATAAACGTATTGTTCGTTTTGTTATATAAACTGTCTCTCTCCCAACTTATTTTTTATAAACTCCCCCATCATTCATCATTTAAGTCATTATAAGCTTATCCGTCATTTAAATTCATCCGTTATGTAAACTATTCATTCATTTATTTTACTCAGTCATTTAAATTTAAACTCGTCCATCATTTAAACTCGTCCGTCATTTAAACTCGTCCGTCACTTAATCTTATCCATCACTTAAGCTCATCCTTGATTTAAGCTCAGAAATTCTGAAGTATGTATCATCTATGTATTATTATGTTGTCATCAGAGTTATTTTATTAAAGATTTTTTCTTTTGTTTTCAAGTAAACGAAATTACCCTACAGTTAATTTATGAATAAAAATCTTTCAAGGTTTAATAATTTTTCTTTTTTTTACACGTAAATATGTGAATGACGTAATTGTTCTCTTATTTCTACAATGTTATTTTTAATAATATATAATGCATATTTATCAAATAATATCGTAAAATTTTATTTCTATAATCGTTATTCTTTAATAGTTAAATCGTTTATATAATACCTATTTATCAAATAATATCGTAAAAGTTTATTTCTATAATCGTCAACGTAGTTCTTCTTTAATAGTTTAATCGTCAAAAAATGTAGTTATTTAAAGGAAATTAAAAGATACAAGTAAAACATGGCTTTTTGAAATAATAATAAAAAATAACGTCCACTTGTTATGAAATTTATAATTAATTAAATATTATTATCTTTTTGAATCCCTTAGCATACATGTATTATTTAGTTGTATGTTATTGTACCTTCTTTACTTTTACTACTGTATTAAAAGAGAATAAGAACACGACAATCTAATAATTTATAGTGACTTTAGTGGCAAATTTTAAGTATTATTTAAACTTGCATGGTATGGCATGGTGTGGTTTCAAATCTATAGTATGCAGATCCATACAGCATTTTTTGTTCTTCAATTTCTATTTGCGAAATGGTACGCTTACTATCAATTTCAAATGAATTATGTTCTTGATATAAACTTTATTCAAAATTATCAAAAAATATAAAAAAAAAGAGATAACAATAAAAAAGGGTTAACTCGAAAAATAGTTCAAATTTTTAAAGAAAAAAAAAAGCAAATAATACGCATTTACGCGTTTGCATTTCTTTTAAATTTTAAATCTTATTACAAATATACTAAATAACTTGTAAATAAAGAAAATAAAGAAATCAGCCAATTTTAGAAATAACCAGACCCAATTTCCAAATAAACTTTTATTACAAAATCAACCTATAAACCAATCTCCTTATTGATAGTCAATTATGTATGCATTTGTGTTTGCATAAAAACACAAAGGGATTCAATTTTAGTCACGTGATCTTACTGAATTGCTTTAAAATGTGTGCCGGATCGGCACATGTGCCACAGACAATTTTCTTAACAATAACCTTTGGAATTACGCATATATGCTAATTTTGTCCGCTCTGCAAGTTTACTTAGAGCGTCAAAGGGGGTTTTTGTTGTAAAATTTGTAAAATTCGATCGGAATCGCTGCCGCTAATGATGTCATGACATTTTTGTAAAGATGCGCTACAAACTTTTAAGTAGTCCAGTATAATCGGCGTAATCTGTCACACATTTCAGACCCTTATACACCAATTACCAGTATAATCGGCGCAATCTGTCACACATTTCAGACCCTTATACACATTTAGATAAATGATAGATAACGTTATCAAATAAATGTATGTTGAATACCTTATTTAGTAATTTACAATCTGGAGTTAAAATGATTGATAACAATATTTATCAACTATTGTCGCCTTGTACCAATTTTCGAATTTTTATTAAAAGTTTATTATTATCTAATTCGATATTTTTATTTTTTAATATATAAAAGAGAAAGTATTGAGAAGCAGATTATGTATTCGAAGCTTAATGCTTCGAATGTTCATCTTTTCCAACGATAAGAATGTTGATGCGATGAATATCGATGATGATAGAAAATAAATGAAGAAATAAACAAATAATTAATTTAACATATACGAATTGATATCAATACGACTAATATCCTCTGTATCCTCTGGTGGAGTACGTAGATTGCCTTACTTCGATTGGTTAGCATTAATGAAAAAGTTTATGCAAGAAAAGTTTAAAAAAATACTACGGGAGGAGTTGTGCCCCCTTATCAATTAACTTCCTTAATTGATTTTTACGAACAAATTCTATGTTGAGTAAATTTACATAAAATTCATGCTCTACATGGATAGATAATATACGTTTTATGGTCACAGTCCTAATTCAATGCATTTATATAATAGTCAAAAAGTTAGTATCTCTACAATTAAACAAATCTTTTGGATTTATCAGTCGTTATTAATCGAGGGAGCTGGTGATGCGAACGATAATTATCTTCCATATTTGATATTGACCAACGAACAGGTACGTGAATTTTTCCTAAATAGTCTAGGTGTTCTGATGAGATTTAGTGAATCTGGCAGCCACAGGCGGCAATCATATGTTGAACGAGCAATCCAGGAAATCCAAGATTCTGGACGTTAAAAGAATTAAAATTGTGAAGAGGAAATAATGAGATTTTTCATTTATTAAATGAAGTCGTATATTTTTCTTCATGATTATTTAAAAGATCAGGGACGGAAAGGGATAGTTTTCTTTTAATATTTATTAAATTTATGTCGGTATAATTGGTCTTTTATTATAATAGATATTAAATTTTCCTCTCGGAATTTTAACGGGAGGAAATAGAGACGGAGTAAGATTTTATTTTAACGTTTTTATTAAGATAGGGTGTTAGTGTTTTTTCATGATTGACATTTCTTATGATTAGTATTTCATGAATTTAAATGTATGTCTGGAGGGAAATAAAGACGAGGGTTTTCTTCATAGGAAGTGTTGGGTCAAATGGTGAATATAATGATGAAGTGGTCCTATATAGTGTATCGGTAATGGGCTGATGGTGACCCAGCATTCTCTTCTAAGCATATTTGGTCATTTCCTCGGATGATGTTACAGACACTGAAATTGAAAAAATGGCGATGAACAAGATCTGAATTAGAAATTTGAAGACTAGCGTAAAACGCGTGAAGTAAGTAGGAATATTATTATTATCCATTTTTTAATTAATTAAATTTTATAATTATAATTTTTAGTTTTACAAAAATGGGAATGCATTAGATCCTTGTTATAGGAAGGCAGTAAGATTGCATATACTACGAACCAAAGTCAACACCATTTGATGGTCGATGTAAAATATTTTACAATATGTTTAAGGTTTGATTACAATTGTAGCATCAAGAGTTTATACTGGCATGTGAATTTATAGAAAAATGATGTTCCTTTCCGTTTCCAAGTATTTGCTAGATACAAAAGAATGATCCTCTCGTAAGGTAATATATATGAACATGTATTCTTTAAGTATTTTAAAAAATAATCGTATATTTGTTTATTTTATAGGAGTATCCTTTGTACGATTATGCATCGACAAAGTTGAAAATATATTATGGTTTTCACATTTTGAATTTTCGATAAACAAAATTTACAGTATTTACTTCAAAGGGAACTAGTCGCTTGTGGCTTTGAGGATTAGGTGTAGCTTATTATTAATTAGTGGGTAGTTTAACCAATTATGGTTCTATTGGCACGAAAAAGGTTTAGAATTACGAGATTGGTATAATGAGCGTCGGACTAGATGGAATTGATGAAGCATGAAATTTACAAATTTGATCACTTTGTAATAGACTTATCATAGATCAAATTATTATACGATTAGACCAAATCGTCAGAAATATCAATTATATTATTTTATTGTGTGAAAAGATTACATCGGGATAATAAATTTTTTACCGACTTGTAAATAATGAATACATCTGCATCGTTAAGATACATATGTTAAAATATAATTAAAATCTCATAATAAATTTTTATTTATAAGATAAAAATAGGAAACCGGATTATTATACAATTTAATTTTAAAATAATAAAAATTGCTATAATTTTCGAGGTAGAGTTAATTAAAAACTTATAAAATTTATGAAGAAATATTAGATCTGCATTCTGCAACGGTAGCAACTGGTGCAGCTCCATTAGATGTACTTGAAGAATAAATATCACCTATTGTTTCTTTAGGATAGGAAATATATGATGCTTATATAAACACACAAGACATTTATTAATAAATTAAGATGAGATATATATTTAAGAAAAGACGAGTATATGACTTACTAAGAGATCTTTAAGATTCGCGAGAAGGTACAAGATATGCCAAAAAAACGAGGCACGAATTAATATCAACATGTACCGATAAATGCAATTACTCATGAATAATAATCAGATGAGAATTTAAACATCTCTACTTATTCATCCCGTTCAATCTCGACCTATCCAACTCAAGTACGAACTACTCGTCCAATAAGTATTATTCTGTATCGACATAACTGCCAGTCCGAATACCGCTTATTAAAATAGATCATATCATCGACTTACGCCATCAAGATAAGTATTTCTTTCTTGTACCCCATTTGCATGATCTTTACTTGAAACTTTATCGTTGGAAAAAACCAGTAATCAAGTTATTTTTGTTCTACTTTGATAACGGACTCCAATTATTTTTTTTTTTTTTGCTTGAGCTTCACTAGCATTAAAGCTCATCACTTGTATCCTTGAGTATTTGTAATAAGATGAACAAAAGATATTTTTTTGATCCTAGAGTAATTGAACTAGCTTATTTAAATAGCCCTACTTTGAAATCAGACAAATCATTTCTTCAACTTTCACATGATCACCGCAGAGTTATCTTGATATTTATTATATTCCTTCCCAATGCTTTTCGTCGTGCGTTTCGTTTTCTTGAAAGACTGTTTTTGAACGTTTTCTGGTTATTGCTTGGTAAACACCCGGGTTTCTTCAAGATGATGTTTCATCATCAATTTCCATCGGATAAAATCATCATTCTTATTTACATCAAATTTGTATCAGAGCGCTTACGCTATTTCTTGGTTGTTAATATTGGCCGTGTTGATTAACATGTGATGGTTAAGTAGTAGATTTGAAGTTGAGTTTTCATAATTTTGAAGAACAAGTTCGTTGTCTAAATTGGAATTATTAGTAGAATTATGAATTTGTTGATTCATAATTATGAAAAGATTGATTTATTTATAACTTACATCATTTTCTTGAATCATCTGCCACCTAAGGCCGTCTTTTCATACATGAAAAGCATCATAAAAAAATTTTCCGCATCTGCTAAAGCAACTGACTAGCTTGAACAAAAAGCACCAACTAAAAAATTACGGCACTAAAAATAATTACATATAAAAATCCCCTTTTTTTATTAGACTTTTAATACATACCGTAATATATAAATTATAAAAAATACGAACATACCCTATTTTAAAGGTGGAAAACAAAAATTGCGGAAAAACAACACTTATAAGTTCTAAAAATATAAATATATCCTATTTTAAAGGTGGAAAACAAAAAGGCGCGAAGAAAAAACCACGAATTATCAGATTAGCGCGTGCACTTTTATTCTTATCAATTGGGATTTGCCGTGTGTGTCACCAACTTGAATGGTTATCATGGTTATCATAGAATTTGATCTGACATCATCTATCAATTTTCACCAATTTCATTTCAATACAAAAAATAACTTAATGTTCCATTTTTATAAATAAATTGGTTCTTTAGCATATGTTTGGGATCCTAAACATGCTAGGAAGACAATAGGAAGTGCCGTGACCTGTCTTTGTTTCTTAACACCTGGCTTAATCTCTAGTTTTCCTTAACTATCAACCGCCAAGATTTAAAAAATAGATTGTTAAGTTGTTGCATCATATAACATTTTTCGACAACGTTTAAATCATATTAAATAATGCAGATAAGGACTCTTTATTTATTTTGGTAATTATTTCATTATTTAATTAACAATTAAATACATTTAAGAATTAAATAATATTTGATTTTAATTAATGTTTATTTTAATAGATCAAATTATTACCTCGCTTGAACGAATTCGTAATGGTGATAATTAGGACACTTTTTATATTTATGATGATTCATCAGAAAATATTCTGAGATTTTCGGGTTGGTGGAGTTGGCGGTATAGATGTGATATTTTTCACATAGCCTTTACTTCCAGCTTGGCTTCATAGTACAAAATCTAACACTTTTGTGGAACGACCGGACAAAACAAATCCAGAATTCTGACTCGCTAAAATCATCTAAAATGCTTCACAAAATTAAGAAGTAAACAATTGGTAATTGAGAACTGAAGGAAAAAACTCGTATGGCGAGGTATATCATATCTAAGGAACATTGTTTTTATTTCTATATTAATTTAATTTTACCAAGTAGTATTGAAAGTTTAATAATTGAAACATTTGGTGGGAACATTTTAAAAATGATATACGTTTTCCATTCAGTAAGTTTGAAGATTATCCGGCAACAATTTCCATGTATTCCATGTTAATATCACTATGTTATGTAGTGATTAAACAGATGCAGTCATACCACGTCTGTATAAGAAGGTTAACTATAAATATAGACCCTGGAAATTTGAGAAAAATAGCAGAGACTGCTCTAATTATATACAATTAGAAAAAATATGTTTTACAACAGAGAAGTGTATATTGCCCAATGGAGACGAATTGTTATTTTATTTTACTGGAAACAAAGAAAATTACAACTGTGAAAAAACGAAATTCTAAGCTAAAGGAAAAGAAAAGGACAATTATAACATGCAATCTATATAATTTTTCAATCTCCCCAAAAAGAATTGCCGTCTTTCTAGCCATAGATAAGAAATTAAGGATCGTATTCCCCTATGGAGTACAAGCTGAGTTACTATGTTACCGGTATAGAAAAAGGATTTGATAAAAGCGTTAAATGCCTATGTAAGGCCCAGCTTCCACTATGTAACACGCAGAAAGAGGTGCCCAAATCTGAGATCAAGAGTGTTTGGTGTGTACCAAGAATTATTTTTTTGATGTATATTTTTTTTTATCTTATGTAGCTAGGGAAAGATGGTGAAAATATATGAGTTGAAGGGAGGTTTATTATAATTCTAGTTACAAGGAGATTCTAGAGAGGAAGTAAACATTTAAGATTACCGTAAATAATCTGAGAGATTTGACGAGGTCGCATAGTGTACAACAAGATAAAATATTTCTTCACATGAAAATTTACTCACAAAATCAATCCATGACAACAGCAACGATCACTAATAATTCAGATCATCGCTGTATCGCTGTACCTAAATTCATGGAAGGATATCATTAATGATATTAGTTACTTTTAAGCACCAAAGGTATATTAAAGCCATTCACAACAGATACTCAATCACTGAAAAGGAAGAAGGTAAATTGATGCAACAAATACCGTCACGTCACCTATAGAATACTAGATCTATTAAACAAATGTGGTCTTCCGATCAGATCATGAAAGTGCCTGTCTGCTGGAACATCATATTGGAAAAAAACAAAGGATCGGGACGTACTATATAGAACGTACACTCTTTCTAAAAAGATGCAAATAATAATTGGTAATATATTTTTCTCGCCCATCAGCGAACATGAGATAATAATTACTAACACATCAAAGAATCTTTGAAGTATAGCAGAAGAAAGTAATCATGGGAGACTATAGTAATTCAATTGTTGAATGGGATTGAATCAGTATCGAACCCTAGAAGATCATAGAGTGGATAGAGTAGTTAGACTCACATTGCTGTTTTGTAAGATACTTCGCCCAAAGAAAAGATGCAACGAGAATTTTATTATGTGAGGACTTAATCTGCATAAAAGAATACATTATTTTATCAAGAACGTGTTTAAACACGTAAGAGTTCACAAAAAAATCATACAATCAATGCAAAAGAAATCAATAAGAAAAAATTCACGCGAATTTTTTATGACTAAAATAGTGTATTTAAATTAAGTAGCAAATAAATGCATTCACATTTGGTTGGATGTTACATATACCATATTGAAAAAATGGACGATGAACAAGGAGAAAGTCGTAGGTTCGTTAGGTTTCCCAGGTTTGAAAATTCTTTTACACGCTCGTTGGAAACGTTTCTTTTGAGTTACGGCGCGTACGTGGATTCTTGTTAGAAGTGTGTGTGAAATCTATGAATTTTTTCTTGTACATGTAACGGAGGTTTGACGATTGGCGTTAAAACGTGTGAAATAAGTAGGAATATTATTATTATCTATTAAAAAAATAGTGAATTTTTAAATATTTAATTAGACTAAAAAGCTTTACAAAATAATTTGTTAGCGTTTAATTTGAAGGTAATCATTAAGGCAATCCTGTTTAATTTAGCCTAATTATATACTAGTAATTTAATCTATAATATTGATCTAATAATAAAATTTTTTAAGAATTAACTAATTTATAAATTTCATGGTTTCAATAATTTCTTCGTACCTAAAATCCTCCTTAATTAAAAGTTGTATCATGTCTTCAATTGCTAAATAAATACATTGATAAATTAAAATTTTTGTCGAACCTGAAATAATCGAATTAAAATTTTTAATTTGGTAGAAACTTATGATTATATTAAAATTTCTTGACCTTTTGTTACGACCTACGAATGTTGGATCTGTTGGTCTGTCACGTGATTTTTGCCGTATTACGAATCTTCCCCAGTATCACCGACACTTTTTCCACCCCCACGTGATTTTGTAATATTCATCACCGGCATCACACCCCACCGCGTTTTAACTGTTTATATTTATCTGAGGGACTTAATTTTTTTTTTGCCTCACAAAATTATTTTTTTCACATCCCTTTAAATGTCACCGGTCACGTGGGGGTGGAATTTTAATTATAAAAGTGTCGGTGATACTGGGGTAAATCGTATTACGACAATTCGTCATATGCAAAATAAAATGGTGAAACACGTTCAACATCGAATATTTCATATTATTACACAAATCGAAAAAATGCAACTGATCAGAGCTGCCTATATGGTGGCACCATATAAATGTCATTTTTGCATCAGAACTAGCTTATTGGATGATTTAGATCTATCATAAATATGTAAAATTTGATCGATCATTCAAATAAAATATGCCAATATCCTTGGAAATAACACTTTCGAAAGTTGGAAATGTGGAATTTCAAGTACTTGACTTTTTATTCTTCCCTCCTTTGAAAAAAGGTAACAAACTTTTTTTTAATGCAAATAAATATTTAAAAAAATTGACTTTTTTCTCCTAGTAAAAAAAAAAAAAATTGTATTGTAACTATAAAATTCTCTTAATTTGAAAAAATTTTATTCACAAGGGAAAGACGCGTTAATATTTATTGTAGGATTGCCAAAATATTAAATTCTGCCGAAGAATTTAAAGAATTCAGAGATTCAATTGTGTTGGTGTACTGTAAATAATATACTATATATATATATTCTTTTTTTCATCCATCAGTAAAATTATATCTTTTAATACTAATCTATATAGAAATTGAAAAAAATTTGGTGATATTTAGATCACCTGTATAAATTAATTTGGATTATGTGCCGTTACAATATCGCACGCTATCAAATTGATGCATCGAACATTTTCGATATTTAGAAATAACTTCGCGTGCTCTTCTAACGGTTGAAACATTATCAGAGACTATGGCCGATATTCGACCAACCCCAATATCAACAACAATGACTTTCGATAACCTCGATAACCGACGATAAAATATTCTCCGGTATGTGAAGTTGTGAACGTTATAGCGTATCTTTAATTAGTGTATTCATTTTCGTTTGCTATATCACAATTTGTATTTGATCATTAGATTCGTATCATGAATATTTATCGACGATATCATGATTTTATCATCGTAATTAAATAAATTTAAAGAATTTGTTCATGCTATAGAATATTATTTGTGTGATCCCGTGCGAAGCAACGGACTGTTCGCTAGGATAATCTTAAAATTATTATCAAACTCATCATAGCGTTTAACATTAATTTCATTATAATAATTAAGGAAATGTTTGAGATTTATTTACTGTATCAAGGTTTCTCCAACCATAACTGGAATTAGTGCTTCGATCCGGATTGATCCGTTGATTAGGATCACAACATTTTTCTATTATTTTTGTCAAACTATAATTTTTGTCAGATTTGAAAAAATTATTCTTCTTCAAATTTTATTAATTTTGGCCAAACTTATAGCTCCAACTCAAATAAACCGTTGCCAAACCGTAGTAAACCGCGGATTGATCCGTTAAAACCCCATCCGGATCGAAGCACTAACTGGAATGTATAGTATCTAAGTATCCAACGATCTATGATCTACAGTATAAAGTTAATTTAAAAAAAAATGATATTGTTTTGCTACACACCTAGAGATGGGTTGAGCGACTTGAGTCGGTTCGTTCCATTCGGTTTGGTACATCAGGTTCCAACTTCCAAATCGGGTTTGATAAATTTTGATATGTACTGACTCGGATCTGGACCGAAGTGACAGAAACCGATTATGGAACCGAACCTCCTACGCCGGGCAGTGGAAGAGTGTGATGGTTGTGATGGTTGTGATGGTTGTGATGGTTGTGATGATTGTGGTGGATGTGGTGGTGGTGGTGGTGGTGGTTGTGGTAGTAGTGGTTGTGGTGGTTGTGGTGGTTATGGTGGTTGTGATGGATGTGGTGGATGTGGTGGTGGTGGTGGTGGTGGTGCTCCTATACTGAGCCGAGCGAGTCGTCCGCCATTCCTATGACATACACCTGATTTAATAAATTAGAATAAACTGAATAATCTGTAATCAATAATAAATTTTAGATTTATAGTAAATAATCCCATAATTTGAATGCTGGCAAAAAAAAAACCTGTCAAATATAGTTAAACCACGTACTTCACGTACTTTTAATTTGTACCGTCTCCATTTAACAAAACTCTCAAGTACAGTACATTGATAGTACATGCAAAATAACTAAAAAAAAAGAAAGAAATTAAAAAAAGAAAGAAAAAAAAAATATGAAACAATTGATTAAAATAAATAATTTATATAACATTGTAAGGAAGCTTCCGATTACCTTTATTTTTGACCATCATGTTGGCGGTTGCATTTTTGGAAGGATTATTATTAAAAGTTAAACCATATGGAGTTGGCGATCCCAGTGATTTCCCTCTAGTACTTTCGCACCTTGCATCGATCGCTGTGATGTTAACAATAAGGTTTTTAAATATTTCATTATCGACAAAATTCTTATAAAAAAATGGTGCCACGAACATATTTATTTATTCTTTCTCGTTTTAAGTAGATGCTAAAAGATGAACTTATGACATGAATCAAGAACATTTATTTCTCCAATAAAATTAAGTTAAATTACTACTTATATTAATAAATCAAACTTACCGGGAAATTATCTGCTGTATTTCGGAATATTAACTAAAGTTGTAACTTTTTCATTGAATATTTAACATAGATTGCATCAATCTAAAAGAAAAAAAATCAAAATTTATTATGGTAGTTGACTTTATAATATTTGATCCGTTTCTACCCTACGGGTCGTATGATATCTATATTTTAACAAAAAAATTTTTTTTTGCAATTCACAGTAGTTATATTTTAGATTCTAAATCGAATAAATGAGTAAAATTGAATGAATGAGTAAAATTTGGCCAGGTCAAAAAAAAAAAAAAAAAGAAAATAATTTTATATTTTATCTGGTAAATTGTTCCTAATGTTGAATCAACATATCAAACACGTGATGTAATATAAATTAATATAATAAAATCATTGAATTGACGGATCCTCCTTAAATAAATAAATTATATTAACGCTGCGGCTAATTAAATATTATTTTAATACAATTCGTCCAAAGAAGATTCAATGAACAAATTTATAGAACTTTTTATTTTCGGATGTGGGGTAATAACAAAAAAAAAAATACTTTGTGATAAACAAAATAAATGATTTAATTGATTTACAAATTGGGACTCAACGCAATCATAATACCGATCTACAAAAAGTAGATTGATGAAATAAAAGAACGATTTAGAATTGCATGAGTGATACAATTTATTTATTATTTTTTTTTTAAAAAGAAAGTATTTTTTTTAGGGGGAAGAAAAAAAAAAAGAAATAATTTGCCTAATTTGTTCACATTGAATGTTTTTCTTTGGTAAGATGCCTCATTTAGATTCTTTTTTTTTTTAGAAAAAAAAAAAGAATATCAAACAAAAGACAACATATGACCAATTCTGAGACGCCAACATACATCAGATGAGTTCTTAAATGAAACAATTTACTTTTACTATTATTATTTGAAACCTGTTAGAGTTTAGAATCAAGTGAAATTGAACTAACCTATTAAGAATTTTGATGTTTTTGTGTACATAATAAAATCAATTAAAATCATTATAAATTTTTTTTTTTAAATCATGAAACAAATTTTATTTGTCCATTCTTTGTTTCACATATGTTTGTACTAATTATACTAAAATGGATTAAAATAAACAACATATTTTTTATAATGAATATTTTTTTAAAAAAATCACTTTTCAATCGTTCCTTTTAAAGAAATTCATATCTTAAAAAGTCTCATGAAATACGCCCTCAATGATCACATTGTTCTACAACATCCTTTACGTACGTCTAGAATATACATTCTTCATTCTATACTTTAGACGCGAAAAGGAAATTGTGTGATTCACGTGATATCTGATACGATGATATCTGGCCAAGATTATGTTAATTTGGCCCAAGGATCTACAAATTTTGTTAAGGCATTATAAATTATGATTTTTATTTTTTTTTTCAAAAAATAAAAAAACTTGATTGTTAAAATTCTTTTCAATTACATGCATTATAATAAATAAATGCTACAACAAAATTTTTATTGGCGCATGAAATTTAAAAGCATATAAAAATAAAAATAAAAAATATATCACGAATTCTTACAAATAACAATAGATTTGAACTATACCATACAGGGAATAAAATGATTTAACATTACAAGGTAATTTTATAAAAGGATTTTGACGTCAAACAAATAAGATTTGAAATTTGTTTGGAAATTTCCAAGTGTTACATACATTCCAAATGTTACATACATGGATCATATTTTGTTCCTAGTATAGTTATTGAACAAAGTAATTAATTAATTAATTAATGCATAACTATTTTTGGTCATTGAATATTGTCTGTACGTCGTTTGAAAGCAAAAGTATTATGTCATACGGTCAAATTTCTTTCACAATACATTAGTTATCTTTTGATATTATTATTGTAAAAACAGATATATAAACGCTTAAGTTTTTTTCATGTTTTTTTTTTTTCAAAAAGAAAGAAAACAAAAAACTCATAAATCTCATAAATATCTCTCTTCCCAATATTTATAAAAATCTTGAAATCTCAAAATCTCGAAATCATTAAAATGATCGAAAATAAGTTTCAAATAGAATTTTTAGCAACATCTCTAGTTCAAAAATTAAATAGAAAAAATATTTTCCCCCCCTTATTTAATGATCCCGAATCATTTATTGCCCCAGCTGGATCAAGACCAAAAAAACCTACTAATTCATTTCTTATATGCAGAAGAAATGTCTCCAAAGAAGCGAACAGAAAAGGAGCTCACAACATGCGAGTAATTAGCAAGGCAGCCGGCATATTATGGAATAGTGCGACCCCTGAAGAAAAGGATGTATACAAAAATATAGCCGAACGTGTTTATGAAATCCATATATTAAGAAGTTCAAATTTAGTTAATTCAACTTCATTTAAAATTGAATTAACAACTCAACCTTCACCTATTTCTCATCCACTTCCTTTCCCTTCTCCATCCTCTATACTCGAAACAACATTAAATAATTATTTTAACGATCACGATAACAACCAAGTCATTCCATTTAATTCATTTAATTCATTTAATTATAATGATTTCGATGAAAATCATCAATGGATTTAATTTAGTTTAATATTAATCATTTTCTTTTCTTTTTAGTTTAGAAAATATTATCCTTCTTTTATCAATTTTTTTTACTCATCAATTATTATCTGCATGAAAATACTTACTGTGATATTAAATTTTCCATATTTTTTTTCGTATTTCTTTCTATAGAATGTATTGAACAATTTTTTTTTATATTTTATTAATAAACAAATCAATTTTACAAATATCAAATTTCGTTAATTATACATTAAATATTTTAAAAATATATGATTTTTACGATTTGATTTCTTCGCATTGTCTCACCTGATTATATTACTTTGCGCTCCCAAATTAATGATTTTAATCCAAGGACGACAAAAAATTTATCTTACATGATAAATTGATATGACTGATCTAAGGTACACGAGTACACGCAAATAACCATAAATAATCTTGCATTGTGTATCACAAAATACATGTATCAATTATATGGTCTCACGGTCGTCATACAATTATCGATCTATTCAAATTTATAGTACTGCTTACTGCTATGATAAGAAAAGCGTGATATAAAATTTCGGATTTTTTTTTTTGAGGAAAAAAAATAAATAAAATAAATTATCTAAATATGTAAAATGCCTCATTTAGGTTCTTTATTTTTTTTTTATGTAAAAATTCGTTGAAATTTATTGCTACACAATGCTACACATTTATTTTATTATTCATCTAATTTTTATGTTTCACCAATTATTCTAATTATTCTGTGATTAGATTAAAATAAACAACAGTTTTATTAATAAATAATCTTTCACTTTAATTGTTCTTTTTAAAGAATTCCATATCTTAAAAAATTCTCATGAAATACGCCCTCGATGATCACATTGTTCTACAGCATTTTTTTACGTAATTCATTTAGACGCCTAGAATAAACATATTGAACCTCCCTTCCTTCTATCGTTCAAACGCGAATAAGGAAATCGCGTGATTCACGTGATATGATACTTGGCCAAGATTATGTTTGGTTTGGCCCAAAGATCTGCAAATTTTTTTAAGGCATTATAAATTAATTCCGACATTCTGTTAGATCTATTGGAAAGTCGATAATTTATTATTCCATAAAAAGTTAATACAATTAATATACAATTGATAATTGTTTAGGGTAATTTTACTTTTATTGTACACCAATAAAATATATTTGTTCCATTTTCCAAATACTCACTTAAAGTCAAATATGCAATATTTTTATGTGTTGCAGATTTCATCGATTGTAAATTCCGCCCAATCTTTTTTGAAGAAACTCATATATAAAGCGCCCAAATTTATCATTTATTTTCATTAACTCCAAAAACTTTCTCCCTTTTTCCCAAATAATAATAAAAAAAAATCCAAATTTGATAAAAATGTCAGAAATTGAAAACTTGGCGACATCTTTAATTAATATGATTGATAGAAAAAATATTTTCCCCCCTTTATTTAATAATCCGGAATCATACATTTCTCCAGTCGGTCCTCGAACAAAAAAACCTCCTAATTCATTTTTAATATGCAGAATAAACGTACATAATGAAGCAAAACGAAAAGGAATTTATAGTATGCGTGTCATCAGTAAAGCCGCTAGTATTTTATGGAAACAAGCATCCAGCGAAGAAAAAGCTGTCTATAAGAAACTTTCTGAGCGTGTCTTTGAAATTTATTCTACTAAAAAATCTGAATAATTCTTTAAAAAAAAAAGTTTTATTATTTTTATTTAACAAAATTTGTTTTATTTTTTTTTTTTTATGTCGTAATTTTCATATGTATTTTATATTTGGTTAACATTGAATAAAGAATTACTTTTTTTAAAAAAAATGTGAATAAAATATAAGACAAGTCAATGTTTTGAAAGCAAATGACCTATATTCCGGAATTCCGGACCAACTTTATTTTTTTTTTTAAAAAAAAAAAAAAAAAAAAA